GTACAGGTTTCCATAATGTTGGAGATTTCTGCTGCATGCTCTAATCTATGCCCATAGCACGCTCATAGCAATGGTACACATTCTTTGGATACTCACTCTGGAACCTTGCTGAATACAGACACAGCATACATGCTTGCTAGGCTAGATTTCCGAACCATAAAAGCACCTTCTTTTCCCTAATTCAGGAAAAAAAAAAAAAATAATTACAAGGAACAGTGAGGTTGGGATTCATTTCAGTGAACTTTAGCCTTTAATACTGTGATATCCACAACGAGGGAAGAAGACATGACTCATCTGACCTCCTTTAATGACTACATTAGGACAAGGTGAATTATGCCTGAGAAATATTTCTTTCCACTAAAATGCAGGTCTAGGTAAGTGGTTGCAGTATCACACTGGAGCAAACAACACAGGCCTAGAAGCAAGACAAAAAGGCAGAGCTTCGAGGGGAAATGCACTCAGTGTAGCTTTCTTCCAAGCTTGTCGTAGAGGTACATCATTTATTCACTTATGTGGAAGTGGCATTTTTGGAGATCTGTTTGTCGGTATCATGTTAGAAGAAGAATTTCTAGCGCTTTGTAACACTACAGCTATTTGAAGTGCATCAGCATCCTCTAGCTACACAGTATAGCAAAGGCAATGCACACATTTCCATTGTTGTTCCATGTTCATTGTTGTTCAACAAACATTTCCATGGTTGTTTATATACAAGCAATAAAGGATATGTAGGACCTTCTGACGGAGCAGCTGCTCATACTGGGCACGGGAGGTATTACCAGCATACCAACTGCAAAGAGGAATATTTGGCTTATTATTCACAAGCTGATTCCTGAAAAAGGCACAGCAGGCACATAAAAAATGCCAGTCATTGTAAATATTTTCAAAACTGCTTTTAAAATCCAGAGGGTAGACTTGGAACGTGTCCTGCATACGTGTTTTTAGAGCATTAAAGAGAAATTGCTGGTGCCCATCTGCTTCCTCTCTTCCAATGGCTCTCCTGAAATATCTGGACCCACTCTGCGACTCAGACTCACAGCAACTCCTTAGAGGAGGATCCTGCTGCCCTAAAGTTCTGCTAGGACCTCTACCAGAAGTAATTTGCTCTGTTTCACGCAGACCATGACAGAGCTGTCTCCCTAAAAGCTGGGAGGTGCATAATTCTTCTCTAATCTTAAACCTTCTAGCTGTCATAATATTTAAGCAAACTGAGAGATCCCAAATGGAGGAAACAAGCCAAACATGCTATGTCAGACCAGTTCTGGGAGTTCCAATGAAACCTTTTTAATAGCAGTTCACTTTCATGGAGCATCCCTTTAGCATACAAGACTGATGTGTCTAATGACTTCTTTGTCTGAAAGCAAATGCATTCATGCCTCTGGAAGTCTATTGGCAGTTATGTTGCTCATAACAATATCTGCAGTTACGATCATTATTGTGACAGCCATATGTAGGACACTATTGCTCCAAGTATAGTGGACATTTAAAGTGGAAAGACAATCCTTTGGATTCTCATGAAGACATATTCTATATACTCACTCATGCTCAGCAATAGCCTGCTCTTCTGCCAATGCTTGTTCACTGACACTGGAGTTTTCCCTGCAAAACAAAAAAAACATGTTGAAATTGTGAAAAAATCAGTTACGAAAAATTACTACAGTTAAAAGCCATACTACATATATTTTTGAATGGTTATGCCATAGTCTAAAGTGAATTTTTCAAAAAGTTGAGACATATTTAGTTGTTTGGATTTTTTTGTGACTTGGTAAACACTTACACAGCCTTTCCCCTTCACTATGCAATGTGTCGGAAAGCCAAATATTCTCTCTGCATGCTGCAACAGGCAATGAAACTACATATTACTTTAGTGACCTTATGAAGAGATTGCATCTACCTTTTCAAAATTTACATGGCAGATTTTCAAAACTGCACACCCCTAGACTTTCCAAATAAGTGTTCTTAGTATGGCAGAAAACAGTGGCAGAAAAAGAGATGTCTAAAATAACCTTTTATGCAAAAATAATAATGATTTATGCTTGCCTTTTGCAGGATACTGTAAGAGCAGGGTTTTTTTAAGGAAACCTCTGAATCCTGTCCAGTATGGTTTACAATGAGACAATCTGTCATACACTTGTGGCATACATTTAATGCTTACAATATCATGTCATCCTACTAAAAAGGGAAAGATGAATGTGATATATCACCTTGACAGACCTGGACTCCCTTTATCCTGTTCTGGACTACTCACATACATACAAAAGCATGAAAGGCTGACTTAATGCCTTGCTAGCACTTCCATGAGTACAAAGATTGAAATGCCAGCATAGTTGAAGTAAGTGGTGAAACTGTATTGTTTTAAATGAAATTGGGATTTTCAACTGATGTTTTTTTTGCATGAATCAAGAAGACAAATTGTATCTGATTTTATACCTTTCATGAAATTCAGTGTTATTTAAAAAGAAAAATATTCCAGAAATATTTCCTAATCTTTACTGGAGGGGTGAGGAAAACATTTAAGCAGTGAATGGCTGCGTATTGATTCACCTTGGCTCATCATCATTCAGAGATACCTTTCTCAGGTAAGTGCTTGGTACAAAACCTTCATTTCCACAAAATAAACAGTTCACAGCATCTTAAATTTGGTCACTTAAAATAAGCAAAGGGATTAATCAGAAAGTCACTTTTTAAAATGACACTAACAGAAATGCTCATGGTGAAAACATTTCTGCTTTTACTTACCATGTAAATAGTACATGGTAAGCAAAATACAGAAATAATTTGTTTTAGAAAGTTACATTTCAATGAAGTAGTCTTTTTGCTAGTCACTGAAATGTCTTCTTCCCCTGTGACTGATTTCATCATATGGAAGATGGGAGCAGCTGTTCAACAGTATCATTACATGCCATCTCAGCTGCTGTGATGAAGGATGCCAGCGACTAATGGGTGCCAGCAGACTATCCAAGGTTGAATGCAGAAAGTCAATAGGCAGGCTCGGCACTCTTCACGACACAATGCCAGATGCAATTGAGAAGCTAAGCTAAGTGAAGATGGACAGTTGTGCTAGCACTTAAAGCGTCTGGCAGCATGGCATGATGGACCTAAGTTATGGGGCCCAACAGGCATCTGTAGTTGTAAGGGGATGGGCCATATGCTATGCCCAAGAGAAAAATAAGTAGGGGGAATAAATTGTATATTTGAATATAGATAGACATAGAAAGAGTTTCTTTAACAAAGATCTCAGTAGAGTGGAAAGTAAACTGAAAGAGCATGAAAAAAAGTGGAACAGGTAACTTCTGACATTTGTTCCTACTACATTCAGTAAAACAAGATCATTTTTTTTCAAGCAGAATTTAAAGGTTCTGTAATGATGCATGTGTGATTCGTCCTTATAGAATCAATACTCAAAACTCTCAAGTTTCTCAAGCAAAGAAAAAACTGTAAATGTCCTCCCTTTCTTTTGATGTCTCCCTGCTCCTTCATCGATCTTAGAGCCCTCTATTCCAGCTTTATAAGCAGAGCTCCCTTTATCATGTGCTTTTGCATAGCCATAAACAGTCCAGCGAAGGCACTTAAGAGCATATCTCAGCTTACTTATTTGTTATCGTCTTTGAGTTGCTGGGACTGTGTGCTGCTTTCTTCATCCAGAACTGTATGCCAAGCCTGTGAGTTTTAAAATGCAGACACTTTACCTTAAATTAAGGTTGTTGATTTTCTTGTAGTTCTAAGCTCAAATCATTGAAATATGAGTGGATTAAGTAATTCTATTCTGTTCCAAACTAATTTGGGCATCCCTTAGCTCAAAAATTCTTCCCTTCCACATTTCTATTAAGTATATAAAATCAAACTCAGCTAGTATCCACCATAAGACAGACAAGGAATCTTGTATCTTCCAGACAGTTTCTGTTTGTTGCCTTGCCTTTGTCTGTCTCCAGTGTACTCCTAAAGCTGTTTCTCATTTAATAACTTGTGAAGAGACATTCATTTCTGCCTCAGCTGGATATTAATGAATTTTTTTTTATTTTTTTATTTTTTTTTTTAAGTTGCTAAAGGGGATTCCTCCTTTTGTGAACCTCAAAGAGAATAATTAAACCCTGTGCAGTACTGGGTGCCCTGTCTTCATGAATAAGTATTGCTAATGCTGGGAAGAGACTGGAATGATAAGTAATTCATGCCTCAGCAGCTCTCACTGGTGTTCCTTACTGCTACTGCAATAGTAATGGTGCTGGTCTAGATGGTTTGTGTGTACAAAAGAGGCAACATTTGTGAGATTTTATCTTTTTATTCATTTAAACTAAATAATTGGAAAAAAATTAGTTTCTGTGTATGCAAGCCCTTCTTCAGGCACATGCCAAAATTAAGGCCACCTTAGCTAGTGTACTAGGCAGTGGCAGTTGTAAATCTTACTCAACCTGGCATCCAAGGATGATAATGAAAATGGAGTTGTACAGAAGACAATGAGGCTTCTAAAGCAACATTAAAAGCTACTAAGGTAATTCTAACATGGAGCCTGAAAGGTACTAGGACTGCCTGCGGTGTTGTCTGTGAAGATGAGGTATGTGAAAGACCATGGTCATGAAACAAAAGTATTCTGCAGGGCGTACTTGCCTTTCCAAATCCCTTACATTCCATGAGTCAGAATCTCCCTCTTGCAATACATAGTATTTATTGCTTCTGATAGCTGAATTTCCTTTGGGTTCATAGTTACACTGGGCTACAGCTATATTCAGGACTGACTTGTCTGGTGATGGCACTTGAGGCAGGCTTCTATGCTTCCACTGTTGAAGACAGAGGAAATAAAATTATAGGTGGATGCAGCACAGGGTACAGTAATAAATAACACGTCATGTACATGATCACATATATATTCAACATGCAGAATGATATTAGTCAAATTAATTAAAGCGAAGAAGATAGGCACAGACAAGCAGCTTTTTCCTCATCCATGCAGAAGCACAGCCCAAATACTGTTGTCCATACTTGCGAGACAGGTGAGAACAGAACCAAATTCTTTGATAATGACACCAGAAGCAATTAACTTTGTGTGAAATATCCTACAGAAGTGTCTAGCACCTATCACTGATTGTTGAAGAGGTCTACACAAATTACTTGGATGTTGAAGCCTGGCATTAAAGTTATGTGACATCACTCAAATCATGGGCAAAAGAGCATCTAAAATTAAGGCAATGAAATGCATTTAGAAATTTGGGAAATGACACAACTGAGAAAATCCAGGCATCACAATTCTTTAAGAGCAGAGATAACTACACTGACAGCAAAGGATGAGGGAAAATAAAAAAGACTTAGGAGAAAAAGTTCCACATGACACCTCTATATTACTGAAAACCACTGTAATGCAATACCAGGGAAGAACACCAAGTGTCCTGCAGCAGGCTGTGATTTTCTTAAATCAAGTCCACATGAACATAGCATTGTATGTTTGCTTGTTTTCTCTTCATTGACATTTATTTACTGAATTTAAACAAGGAGAAACCAAAGAGCCAAGTGAATGCCTGATTGAGTTCACTGAACTAGAAGACACACATGATCTCTTCCTGCAAACACACAAAGTCTCAATCTGACCCCACTAAGCTCCAGTGGAAATATTCATTCTTTAAAAAGATATCACTCACAGCAGAGTCATCTTCATTTGACTAGATGTAGATCTGTTACTCATCAACTACTACTACTTGAACCCAGTAAGAGTGGCTCCTTTTTGTCATATCTGACTTTGGTGGCAAGATGCTCGTAGCTTGAGGGTCTGTGTTAGGCAGGATTCAGATTTTAGATTTCCAATTTGTTTTGTAGAATAATGACAGAATTAGAGTTTCCTGCAGTTTTCAGAAAGATGGAGAAAATTGTAATGCAGAGATTAAACTGTTTTTAAAGCATCTAATGATGTTAGAGCAAGCTGATACTCTATGCATGTTTTTATGAGCCGATGTCCCCCTCCTACATTTGGCCTTAGTAATTTTTTGAGATTAAATTGTTCTTTATTAATTTCCTGTATTTTGCTTGTGGAATGACCAGAGTCTCTTTCTTTGATGGAGCTTTCATCTTTTTGTGTGAACAGAAGAAATTGCAAAGCACTGGCCAAAGTAAATGGTATAAAGAATTATTATCACAGAAATTAGTTTTGCTTTTTCCAACCTAACAGGGAAAAGAAACAGCCAAAGATGAGCACATCACATTTGTATCCCTCTGGATGTGTCTGTTTGCAATAGTCTGTTACAATATTCTGGATAGACTTCCTCTGTAACCTAGTACAGATTAATGTCCTAATTTGTGTCCATATATGCAGCTTTCCATTTCCAGCATTAGCAGAAAGCTCCAGAGCATTTCCTAATAGTAACTGAGTGGATCTTATTATTTCCTTTATGCCGGCAGTAATATTATTGTGGTTTTCATATTGATAACTGTGCCACTGTCATCTAGAGAGAGATGTAGGTGACAGTCTGAGATTCAGCTGTGATGTGCATATGGGCAATAGTTACTTTCTGCAGAACTGCACCCCTGCCATAAAACTGGAAGCATGTGCTGGAGCACTTCAGCTTCCATAAAACCTGTCCAATACATAATCATAAGAAGATGTTTGTGTGCACTCAGTGGGCTTCTATCTGATCTACTGCAGTATTGGTCTGTCCACCATGAACCATTTCCAATTGCAAAGACCGTGGATGCCAGGCACCAGTAGAGGTGAAAGTGTTTCTCAGGCAAGAAGCTGTTACCAAAGCACAGGGGATGCGTCTATGGGTTCCCATGGAGGGACCTTTGTGCCCACTCTTCTTTGTAACGGCATTGCTCTTTAGGAAACAGCTCCACTGCAGGGCACTTAGAGGTATAATGCTGAACTGATGAAAGGGACAGAGGCATCAAAGGTGCAGGATGTAAGCATACAAAAGTAATGCCTCATGCAAAATGCAGTGCCTCTGGCCAGTTTTGCCTACATGCAGAAGTGATGCCTCTGGTCATCTGGGAAGAAAGCAAGGGAGCAAAACTTGCAGAGGCTGGAGAGGTGAGGAACATGAACTGAAAGGTAGGCAGAAGGAAGGCTGAGGATACGCTAGTACCTCTGATGACCAAATTGAGTAGACGAAAGGGCAAAATGAAAATGTGCTGAGAGCTTATAGAAGTAGCTCTGTGACTACATATAGACTGTTCCTCACCATGAGAAGTCAGTATTAGCCTTCTTAACCTGATTACATTTTACTGCTTGGGAAAATGAAGTCAAGTTTTTCTAACCAGATGTGGTAGTTATTATATCTACATTTACTAAACCTGATTTAGAAGTACCCATCTGAAAACTGTCATGTTCCTGCTTTTTAAATTTCCCTTTCAAAATATCATCTCTGAACTCAAACAGATAATAAAAATAAATCATAAAGGCCTAGCAGAAGGCAGCATGTGCAGAAGCAGATTTGCATGACTGACGATTTCTCCAGATAGACAAAGCATCTCCTGATGGAAGCCAGGCAAAACAGACCTCAGTATTCAAAACAAGTTATGCTGCTGCCTGTTCATAATGCTATTACTTTCAAACCTCATTATCAGAAAAAATGTCAAAAGCTTCTTTGTTCATAGCTTCTTTTCAAGGCTTTATTATTATTTTTCATAAAGCTCCATTTTACAGCTTTTGTGATTTTATCTTCTGTCTCTTGATAATCTATGTGTTTCTTAAAGCCCTGGCTTTAATTTCACCTTTTTTCTTTCTTTTTTTTCTAAGTTATTTTTTGTTTAACAGAGAAAAGCTAGGAAATAGACCCAGATCTAAAGATACAAAACAGAAGGCAAGTTAAAACAAAGCAGGAACTACGGATTTTAAAATCCTATGATTTGAAAGTCAAACTGGTTTAATTTGGAGGAGGCTGAGTAACAGTGTGTGAATACACAGTCCAACCATACCATTAGACCTTTCTTTAAGAGATGGAAACGTTATAACTGAAACCACTTTGGTCTCTTCTATTCTCTTGTCATTGTTACCTCCTTCCCACCTACAAACATCAGTAATTAAGCTGGGCAGTAAAATCAAGGTCAAAGATACCACTGTTGCACTTGTATTTTACAGGAGATAGATGAGGAAATAAGTATAGAAGCAGATCTTCCAGTTTACTTTTATTTTTAACCCTGTTAATTGCTGACCTTTTTCATCAAGCAACCGCTGTGCTAAGGGACTCTGGATGAATCAAGCACAAGTATTTCCTTTCAGCATCCTGGTGTCATGTTTGTTTTGTTGGGTTTGTGAAAGCCTGCCTTTCTCAGAAGGACAATAAGGCCCAGTGGGTGCTGGTGGAACACCACATTCTTGGGCTTCTGTCTGATGCAAAGTCGAGATAAAGTCAAGAGCACATAAAGAGCACATAAAGAGCTCAGGTGAACTTCCCATTTTGTCAACTTAGAGGCTGCCTCTGTAAAGTTGGGCTAAAAAGACATCTGTACTCCTGACCCAACCCCAGAGGAGCACAACTTAGGATTTGGCAGAGGTAAATGTAGTTCGTCCACCATTTCTCACCCCCACAAAGCAAGTGTATTTGTTGATATCTTCAGTCATAATGTTTTCTCCAAGTATTGTGAACATCATTTTCACTGGGGAGTGTGGTGGAGGGGAGTTTTTGGCATCTGTGGGAATGGGACTGACTACAAACTAGAGACGTAAGTTTGATGGCTTTCCCTGATCCCACTGGAAATAAGTATATAAAGTAAAAGACATATACAATACAAGGGCTGTAGCCACTACTGCCACCAGCATATTAAAGTAAACTGAATGTGGCTGTCACTTTCCCAGTTTGCCACATGGAGGAGAGAGATGAGTCCTTCTGTCTGACAAACTGGTGGACACAAAGATTCTGAGCTGCACTGCAGATTAGAGGTTTACACCAACTTCCAGTGAGTACTGTTTCAATTCTCCATTCCATCCCACAGCCCTTCCCACCACCTGGATGCCAGGTCTTCCTCTGTAGCTAGATACTCAAAAAGTTTTCACCTACCAGCATTTGAGGGACTGGAGGCAGTGGTTTCACAGATCCAGTTGTACAACACAGAGTCACATCTAGAAGAGAGGGAGAATTAAAGAAAAAACCAGGAATTTGAGTGAGTTTTTATATCTTGGGGCTTTCTCACTTGCAGATTTATGTAGTGGTAGCAACAGCATCATGACAGTTGGTGTTTCATCTCCCTGATACACTGACATGCTCTAGCTCTGTGCTTTCAACCTTCTCTTAATTCAAGCACCATTTCAATATCCTTAATAACCTCATCAACCACTGTTTTAAACTATGGTAAAATACGAATTTAAGGAAATTTGTGGTTGTATTTAGCTCTGTGTTTTTCCCAGTTCTGTTAGCTTATTTGGAATAATAGAATCACTTAGGTTGGAAAAGACCTTTAAGATCATTGAGTCCACATGCTAACCTAGCACTGCCAAATCCTCCACTAAACCATGCCCCTAAGCACCATGTCTGCATATCCTTTAAATACCTCCAGGGATGGTGATTCAACCATTTCCCTGGACAGCCTGTTCCAATGCTCAACAACCCATCATAGGTGAAGAAATTTTTCCTAATAACCAATCAAAACCCCAGCTGGTGCAACTTGAGGCCATTTCCTCTCGTCCTGTTGGTTGTTACTTGGGACAACAGATCAACATCCACCTCGCAAAGTAGGCATTAAAAGTACCTCAGCCTTTTGCTCATCCTTTGTCATTGTGTTTCCCCTCACATCCAATAAAGGATAGAGATTCTTCTTAATCTCCTTTTGTTCCTAATTTTTTTTTTCTTTTATGTCAGTAGCCAGATTAAGTTCTATTGGGCTTTCATCCTTCTAATTTTCTTCCTGCATAACCTCACGGCATCCCTGTAGTCCTCTTGAGTGGCCCTCCCCTTCTTCTGAACATCATGAACTCTCTTTTTTTTTCCAGATTTCCAGCCAAAGTTCTCTGTTCAGCCAGGCTGGTCTTCTTTCCACTGGCTTGTCTTTTGGCACATAGGAACAGCCTACTCCTGCACCTTTAAGATTTCCTTCTTAAAGAATTTCCAGCTTTCCTGGACTCCTTTGCCCTTCAGGACTGCTTCCCAAGGAACTATCAACCAGGCTCCTAGACAGGGAAAATTCTGCCCTCTGCATGTCCAAAGTAGCAGTTTTGCTGACCCCCCTTTTTATTTCTCCAAGAACTGATAACACATTCTGTGATTGATTTGATTGCATTCAGAAGGAAACACATGTATGCTTTATTTTATTCTCATTCTTTGAAATTGTTTCATTGACATTTTTAGTCTATGAAGCAGTGATAAAGAAATACTGCTTTCAATTACCCAGTGGTTACAATACTGAGGCTATCTGGAGTCATCTCTACAAAGACAGTCTCCCTGTGCTCTGTACATCTCTGGTGACAACCTTAGGAACTTATTTAGGAACAAATTTAGAGTAGATACAGCACATTATCCTGCATGCTCAGACATAAATGAAGCATTCAATATACAAAAATTCTCTTTATAATTCTTGTCTTGGCTAAGCTATCTGTGACTGGTAATGAGGTATTTCCTTGTCCTTGCAATTGATGGGGGTTTCATGGCCTCCTTATTTGCTTTTAAAACAAGTGATCTTGAAGCTAGATGAAGCTATTAAAATTACTGATATAAATCAGCTGACCACTCTTTACATTATTTAGTGTTCCATAATGACGAAACCTGTAGTAATGGTGGATTATTACTACAGTGGATAATTAGTGGATAATTCATTTAAATTTTCAAAAGCAAATGCCTGTTACAAGCAGTTTCATGGATCTAAATCAGGTATCTAACTGCTCACACCTACGTTTTTGGATTTAACTTCTAATTTTGTGTTCGTATTTTTTTATTGTGACTGTAAATGCTTAAGACCAAGGTTCAATCATGATTGAAATTAGTGGATTGACCAGTGCTCTACAATTCCAAATAATCAAGCTTAAAAAGGCTGAAAAACAAACACTCATAAACTGCCATTCCCTCTCCCAAACATGGCTTTTCACCATTAAACGTGTGCACAGACATGAGGGAATTCCCTTCTTAAAATAAGACACATAGGAGGGTATCGCTTTACAAATTTTCCTCTCTCAGTCTTTACAGATTAAAACTAAAACCCTAAATAATTATGACTAAGCTGTACAAAAAATATTTTAGAAAAGCATGTTAAAATAAGAAAAATGCTGCGAGTTAAATCACATTGTTTAGAAAAAAAATCCATTATTTAAATGTAAACATATATTAATATAAGAATTTTACTTCTGTTTAGTTATGCAACTCTATTTTTGCACACATCCATACACCCTGTTGTGCTGAACTTCTGTTGTTCCTATGCATCTAGGTTATGGCATTGCTAGAAGAGTTTTACAGCAAAAATACATTTTAACTAGAGATTTTAAGATTAAGGACAAAAATAATTCCATCTGGTTTATTTTATAGGTAAAAATGGCACTAACTTTTGATCAAACACAGCAGATATAGTTTAGTATATCATTTTGCCCAGTTACAGTATAAGTTACAACCTATAGCAGCAATGATATTAGAAGGAGCTAAGTGCATACACGAAAATGTGTAAGTAGATTAGCTTTTATATTGATTACACTGCCTTAAAGGTCCATGTGACTTGGCAATATTGTGAAAAACATTAATGAGCCTAATCAAACAAATAGAACAACACATTACATTTCTCCCAGATCGTACATCCAGGGGCTGTTTTACAGGTCTGGTTGCAACAGAGAAACTTGCCATTGCTGAAGAATCCTTTATGGTACTTGTTCAGTAAATCAAAATTGTCTTTAATTTCTGTAAAGCACGAAGAAACCAAAGAAAACATGATAGTTTGCAAAATGGGAATGTTCCCTGTGATCAGTAGAGTCTGCTGCACCAAACCATGGACCCCAGAGGGCTTACTGACTTCTAGCCCTGGACACATATCCTGGTCACATCTTTATTTCTATACCATATTCCTCTATGCAGGCTTAAGTCTGAAATACATTACTCCCAGCTACCTGTTTCTTTGAGAAGGAAAACAGAGCGTCAAGAAGGAGATACAGTAACATCCAACAGAACACCAGAAGCCAAAACAGGATCGAACAGCTATGATTCAAAATCACAGATCTTACAAAGATTTCACTATCAGTAAAAAAACTAATTAAAGAGAAAAGTTAATTTTAGCAAAATATGCTGAGCATTTTCCTAGATCTATCTACTGTAAGGAAATTATATTCACTGATAATATGCCATATGGCAAATCCAAGCTAGCATTTATCTGTTAAATTACAGTTCTTATTTAATCATGACAAAAAAGAACACCATCACAGAAATATTTATTTTATATCTGAAGCACTGCTTTACTCCAGTGTCAAAAAGATGAGGTAGCAGCATTTTCCTATCTCTGCTCATCTTATTTGAGTATTTTGGTACACAAAGGAATAGTATTACCTTTATGCAAAGCTGCAAGCCACCGCTCCCTGCTGTCTTTATTAGTGGCATAGACATAGAGAAGTCCACCCTTGTACATAATCTGGAAGAGGTTGGGAAAGCTAGCATGGTGAGAGTGTACTGTCTGAAAGCATGTTACCATGCAGGAGGTGAAAGGAGGAGGGAATAGGAACAAAAAAAGTAGGCTCTGTGGACCCACATCAAACTCTCACAACTTGGTAATGTTTCTCAGAGGTCACTTATATTATTGCCATTTCATATAAATACTTCATATTTCATATATTTCATATCAACATGGATATAGCTATAGATAAATATGTATCTATCTACATATCAAAAAATATGTACTGCCTTAACCAAAGTGGTTCATGTCTTAAAGAACAGTTACAGGCATAAAGGACAGTGTCAAATATTTTTGGATATTCCTGTGTTCTATGTACAAGACCTTGTAGCCCTCATGTAAACTCTTTCTTTCCACTTCAAGTTTTCCACACTCATCTTCCAGCTTCTAGCTCATGTTACACAAGGCCGGACCAAGATCATACTGAGGCCAGGAACCTGTCACTGGCAGCATCCAGTAACAAACACCAAGGCACAGCATGTGCTGAGGGCAGCTGTACAGTGATCAGGAATCCTGATCCAGAAGTGATGCATTTATACTTAATACCCTTTGAGAGGTGGTTTTCTTCTGGGAATTTGTTCAGTTGCCTTTTTAAGCAAATAACTAGCATCTGAAACATCCTGCAGTAAGTAGTCCTACAGCTTAGCTACGTAATATGAAGAGTCAGCTTCTTTTACTTGTTTTAGGCCTATCTATCTTCAGTGAACTTCATTCGATGCCTGCCTAATAATTACTAATATCTGCTTTGCTTTTTGGGTATTGTTTAGTACTGGGCTGACTGTGTGTCCATGTTAGGTGAGGGTTTTATTTCCCTCGTGTACATTGCTTTTTAGTCATCTGCACTGAATTTCAAATGCCACTTTATTGCTTTTGTGTGTTAGACTGAAATGCTCTTGTTATTAAATGTGTATTCCCACTGGTAAGTATACATGACTGATCAATTTGCTTCCTGTGTCCTTATTTAGTTAAACTTTTGAGCCCTGTGAGCTTTTCTCTTTAACATGTTGTCCATCCAATCTATTAGTCACTGTCAAGTCCCTCCTTTGACCTATCTTCACTTTACAACATCTTTCTTCAATTATAGTCACCAGAACTAGATACAATATTCTCCTGGTGATCACAGCAGTGTCAAAACATGCTGAGTGCTTTTACTCAATATGTGCCTGCTTCCATGTCCAGGGATGCCATTAGCTCCTTTGGCCACAGCATCACAGCTGGAATTTTTGTCCAGCTATCATAATCTCAAAGTCCTCTTTGAGATACTGTTTCCCAGAACAAAGTCTCCCATCCTATAACTATAGTACACACTTTTTTCCCCACTTAACTGAATTACGCGCTCCTTACATAAAAATTTAACGTAACTGTGTCATTCACTCAGTGTACAAAACTGGGGGAGGGAGAAGGGAAAGGAGGACTGGAAGGACCCTAGGGATCAACCAGGCAGTGAAATACTATGTATCTCTCATGAGGTTGCCTTTGGGCATGGCAATTATTGCAGGGTCATGAATTAATGCACTATTCAGCAACTACATTATTCACTCTAACAGCCTGCTGCTTGTGATTGCACTGTTTGGCAGTGGTACTCCAGAGGGGAATATGTGGCCGCTTCTCATCTGCAAGTCCCACTGCCCGTAGAATTGAGATTGATGAAGGCTTCCTAGAGCCAATCTGAGCTGGGCAACTGAAACAGACAAAATACAGCTAATTTGAAGTTATGGTTTTCTCATCACATTTAATTCTTGAACATGTGTAGTGTTTTGTGCAGCTGCATCTGCTGATACAAGGCATAGCCTTGGTTTTTATGACTGTGGCACATTTGAATGATAATGAGGCAGTCGGGAGTCAGATCCTGCACTTGGTATTGAAGCCAAAACAGAAGTGGAAAGAGACAGTGAGAACTAAAATAAGAATTATTGAGTGCTTAATTCTGCCTCAAAAAGTGATAATCTCATAGTGTAGTGATCTCTATGTTCCAGGTAATACTAAAGCAAATATTTGATAGACCTTGGAACTTGCTTAAAAGAAACAAGACTTGATCTGAATTCTATCACAGTCTATTAAAAATATTACAGCAAAGTCACAACTTCAGTAATAGGGATCTATAGGAAATATTCTATTTCTTGTAAATGTCATAGAACCATAGAATTAGGTTGGAAAAAACTTTTAAGATCATCAAGTCCAATCATTAAGTATCAGTATCAGTAGCACTCATCAATATCAGGTGTCTCCATGCAGGACAGGAAAACTAAGTGTAACCCCTTAGGATGACTGGCATGTTTCACATGAAATGTAAATGAAACAGATTTCATGGCCAACCTGAAAAGGATATTGTCTTGCAGGAGTTGTTGCTTCCTCGAGATTCACTGTTTCAACACATTGTATTTTCTCAATCTCAATTGATCCCTTTTTGCTTCCTTTTTTCTAAGAGAGAAAAAAACACAGCAGATTGTAAACTAATGTTAACACAATATAAAGTGTTCTGCTTTGATAATTTCATGTAATTTCATATTTCAAGCTGTATAAGCCACAGCTTTAGGTTTGTTAGACTTTAAAAGAAAGGTAGTAAGAAACCTCCCTGGTGCCCTAAAGTAATCTAATATATTAATCAAATTCCTTTTTAAGTCAGTTACAAGAATTGAAGGACACAACCATACATCTGCAAAAGCACCTGCTGCAACTGCAGGAGTACAGTGAAGAAGGAGGGACTAGGAGGAAAAGAAGCAGCAGAAGTTAAGGGGAGAACACCTCAAGTGCAAACCAGAAGTCTAGCAGTAGCATCTATAATTTTGTTAAGGTGTCAGAGTTTATTCTCACTGAGCTTCCCTGCAGTTTTGTAATGGGATGTATCTCATAGGAGGAGTCCAAATGTATGAAAAGGAGCAAAAACTTTAAAATAAGCTGCCTGGGACATACATTTGCATTCCTGATGGGAGATCTTCCAAGTAAAAAGCCACCCTTTTGCAATACACGGTCACTTAGGAAAAAAAGGACAACCATCTGCTTTGTGCAGTCAACGGATGAGATTCTGAATTAATTATGCCTTATAGAAACAACTTCTGAAGGCCATTATTTACATCAGTTCAGCGGGAAGCCTGAAAAAGGAAAACATCCCTATTCAAGACAATGTGTAAGCATATGCCACTGTTAATTACTTGCTTACGTTCTCTTTGGAAGGACACAGACAGATGTTCAATGGTAATCACAACTGTAAGATTTGTTTTGAAGAGGGACATTTTCAAGCCTGTGGCTAAGTGTTTTCCTAAACCGAAACTAGGATTTGATACCCTATAATTCTACTCATAACAAAGTACACCTGTTGTTCTAACACATAATGTCTGATCAAGTTTCACAGAAGAAAAACAGGGGAGTAAGGTGACACTGGAAAATCTTAGAAGTTTATGTAAAAAAAAGTTCCTTACCCCTTTGTCATATTCATAGTAAGAAAGGTTTGCTTTTGTCAGAACAAACAACCTTTTCTTGTAATTAATTGGTGATATTTTTTTCTTCTGTTGTGATTTCTTTAAAAGAAGTTCTTCTAGAATTGTTTTCTTCTCCATTGTATTTCCCTAAAAGAACATCATAGTTACTTTGATTACTACTATAAATAGACATAACAAGATCAACTACAGAAACTGGAATGAATATATTGTCATTGTCTTCTATATGTTTTATAACATTTTATGCAATATATGGTTACAAAGCATGTGTTTAATACTGCTTAAACAAATAAGGTTGTTTAGTTTATTCACTCAGTAAAACCAATAATAATATACAAAAACTAAGCTACAGATATACTGTAGTTCTAAACAAAGCATCTCTGTTACTTTATTGGCTTGAGGATCTCTGCCTTTAAAGCCATACACCCTTTCTGGCAAAGAGCATAGTCTGCTTTATCCACAGATGTATTACATCTGCAGCATAACATGCAAGTCATTACAGCAGCAAAGAGAACGACAAGAAAGACAACCCTTTTATTTACAGACCAGAAAAACATGCCTAGAGCTGACAAGTGTGTTTCCTGAACTGGAAATTTCCCATTCCTTTCTTTCAACTGAAACAAATGCGTGTTTACGGAATGGTGACACATAGAAAGATCAAAAAGTAAAAATGTTCTTGCAAGGAATGTATATACATATATATTTATTGCTATGCATTTTTTCTTAGCCTTAATAAGCATACAGTGGAAAATGCCAGGAAGGATGAGATCCATCATATTTCTGCAAGTTTAGTACAGTTTCAGGTTATCTTACCCAAATGTGAAGATTGTAGGTCGTGTCCTTTGCCCTGTATGCTCTGGAGCTCCAAGGAGAAGTGCTGTGCTAAGCAATCCACTTCATTTTGTCCCTGTTCACTTCAGACAGCCCAGCAGGAAAAGAAAATTTGCATGATGCTCATCACACTCACTTGATCTCTCCACTGAATCCCACCCAAAACCAGAAAGTAACAAATACCTAGTAGAAACAGTGGGAAGAGGAAAAGGGGGGTCTTTACTAGCTATTACTCCACCATGGGTTTCTGGCTACTCTTCCCATGAACAGGATGTCTAGTTATACCTTGCACCAACTCCCTTTTGGACAGACCAGTGTATGGTAGTGCCACTGGTGGGTCAGCTTAGAGGCAATGTTGCCATGACATGCAACATCTGGAGGAGATATGAGCTTGAGGTAGATAAAGGAAGAGTTGGGGCTGAAATCTTTCTACTGAGATATCTGCTCTGATGTGGTGGAGGAGTATCCACCCCACTCCAGGAAATTTTTCAGGCATTACAGGCTAGGTCTTTGCCCTGACTGTAGGAGTAACTAGCATGAAGTTAGGAGTTAGTTCAATATAGGTTAGAGAAGCTGTCTTTGCAATTAGAATAATAGGTTTGCTAGAAAATGTAAAAACCTTGTCGTTCCCACAACAGAGCAGTAAAAACTCCTGCTTTTTGTAACAGCATGTGGTTTTGTTTCCTTAGACTGGGAAACATCCAGACCTTAGCTCCAACCTACTGAAGTTCAAGGAGCTCACAAGAGGTACTGGAGGCTAGGAGAAAGGATGATGAGGTGGAATTTTAACTACCATATTTTAAAGCATTATTTATAGATCCTTTTCGTGGGGTTGCCACTGTGTGATCTTTACAAAATCTCTTAAATAACTGCTGTTTGAATTAATCTGAGCAATTACCTGAACTGCCAGGATTGATAACATTGCTCATGTGAGATTAGGTTTCTAATCCTCTATATCTGATAGACCTTTGAACATAGAAGAAATAAGATTTGATCTAAATTCTATCACAATCAATTGAAAACATTTCAGCAGAGTCAGACTTTCAGCAATAGGGGCTCTAACCCTGTAATGACTGAGGGCCCAGAGAATATCAGCTGAAGCTACATGGCGTGACTGCAGTCTATACTTAGTGTGGCTTAGAAAAAAGGCCAAGTACTTCTATTACTACTTGTAGAAGCACTAACAAAACAGCCTCTGGGTTTGATAAACTTGTGCCATGAGTGCACACCAAGAAACGAGTAGAGACAAAAGGATTTATCATAATATGTAATTTCATTTAAATATTAGAACCTTATGTTCTTTAAATTGTACCTTGTAACACCTATTTGTTAATAAACAGTATTACAAATACAGGAATATTACATATACCAAATACAAAATGTGACATAAATGTTAAACTCCTACAAGATTTTTTAAACATATTTCTTTAACAAAAATATAAATATTTGTAATTTTTTTTTTTTTTTTTTTTTGTATGGGCAAACCCACATACTCTTCTTTCTGAAATAATTAGCTGAAAACAATAGCCTGTTCCATTTAGGAACACAATGTTTGTGCATATGTCCTTGCATAGTGTATGACATCCTGGATCAACTTGCGATCTATTAGTATACCTTCTACCTTGTTGTCTGTGAATCTGTGGCAAGCACATGACCTAGTTCTAAGGGTGCAATAGATGGTTAAAGGTACAGGTTAAAGGAAAAAATTACTTGAAAAGTCTTTACCTAAAAGAAAAGACTTGAAATATCCTGTAAGTTTACTACATCCCTTGGTTTCTCTGAAACAGAATACTGTGTATTCAGCCTTTGAGGGAGCAGCTGCTTATGTTGCAGCTTATGTAAGACACTTCATTACCGGAGTGCTCTGGCTCAAGTTTAAAAAAGACCATTTTCCAGATTTTTTTACAGTTTGAGATAAAAAACAATTTCAAAGTCTAAAAAAAATATTGACAGCAAAAGTACTTCCTGTGCAGATCCACTGCACAATGCTCTTCTTTGTCCACTTGTGGGAAAGAAATTATAACAGCTGAAATTACGTCAGATTAAATGCTCAACGTTTTGGGGTTTTTTTCCGCTTTTTTAAAAATAAGTTTCCAGTTCCAGGAATAAAACGTGTTTGTGTTGCACTGCTTTTTCACCGCCCAGGCTGCCCTTCCTCTGTAAGCAGACTCTTTGCTGCTGAGTCAGAACATGCATGCACTAACCACTCTGTTGTGCTGAAGGGATAATCCTTCAGTGCAGCAAGTGCAGAGTGGCCTGTGCTGTGTACAAAATTCTGCCTACCTAGAGAATTTCAGGGTATAGTATCCTCCCTCTTTGCTGGGTGGAGATTGATTGCTTCCACTGAGAAATCCAATTTCTCTCTGGAAGAAAATAAAAAGCCTTATGGAATTAACTGTAAACATTTGTTCCATATAATTTGAAGAGACATGAAGGATCTAGGGATCTTTGATTACTTTTCCATGCTTGTAGTGTGTGTTTTGTGTTCTAAACAGTTGTGCTTGTACTGAGGATATTTGAATTTTCTTTGCTTTCTGTAAGACAGTGTTTCAGGTGAACTATTTCAGCTCAGTAAGCTGCTATTTAGAGCTCTGAAACAACACAAAATCTGGAGTAATACAAATTTTCTTTCTTCTTCCAAAGAAAGTAGATGCAGAGGGCAAGAGCTATGAATTCCAAGACTTCTAAGGTGGGGGTAGGCATGAAAAAATAATCACCTCTAGTTATGTACAAAATATATTAGTCTTGCTAGTCAACCATAACATTTTTAAGCTTGCATGTTTTGATAAAACGACCTTTTTCCAACCCACCACATTTGAAATATATTTTAATTAATTAAACCAGTTGCAAAGCACTACCTTGGTGTTTACAATTTATAATTAAGGTGACTCTAACAAAAAGAGTGAACAAAACCCTATTGGAAATGAGACAAACAATTTATTTTAATATGATAAAAATGTAAATAATGCAAACACATTTCCATTAAACCATAGTATTTAAATGTAGATATTTATGATGCATCCTCTTCAGCAAGTTGTATTTAAGCAAAGAGGTAGAATTGTTTCCTGATCCTGGTGTGATGGAAACCAGCGAGGGAGACAACTCAAATACACATGGAAAATACTCCAGATCGTCTTACGCTTTTCTGTTATATTATTTTAAAACTTAATTTAAAATGGTGATTTAAATTATCCTGCATTTCAGCCCTCAGTTTTCAGTGAAAATGATCTGTTTGGTATTGAATATTTTTCTTCAGATTACAAGACATGTAAAATCTTTACAATATTATACTTATTGCTTTGTCTACGTATTACGTACAGCAAACTGATCTTTTTCCTTGCAGAAGCTCTCTTGTTTCCTTGATCTTTGCCTGTGAAATAAAAATTACTGAGAGTCATAACTTTTTGTATGCAGGATATAGAATCAAAACTACTTATTTGGGGCATGCCACAATATTTATTTTTTTTTTTTATAAAAAGAATATTAGTGGGATCTAGACTCAAGTCTCTTAAATATTACCACTGAAGTGTGTTTAAACACACATTTCATTTACTCTGCTTTAGGATTAGCCATTTGTTTATAATGTACCAGCTGACTTCTGTCTGAAATGAGATATTCCACAGGCATTCCTACTTGTTCATGTTGTTAAGCAATTGCCCATATCTGGACCTATTGTTTGAGTCGGAGGTGGAATTTGATGACCCCCTGAAGGTATCTTTCAAACTGGACTATTTTCTGTCTGATTTTGACTGTTGATAACATTATGTAAACAGTACATATTGCAGGAATAGCTGAAAATGTACCTTCTAGTTTGAAGGTCTCCTCAACCTGGCACTTGGTGGCACAAAGCTACAGCTGAGGGCCAGACCTGCTTTACAGACATTTAGTTAAAGGAAGTAGTCTAGAAATCTCATATTGTACGAGTGCTACTCTACTAGTTTTGTGACCTGAGCTTGCTCTGAAAGAAACATGGACTTAATATACATAAAACCACAGTCCATTATCCCGATAAAGTATCTTTTTGATTGCTGAGGTTTTGCAGTATTTCTTAAGCAGTGATCACTTACCTGGACAAATAAAGCTAACAATATAAATTATATACACTTGTAATACATGTATCAGGTATGGTGTAATATCTTCATATTATTGCCAAGCAATCAAACTATCAGTCAGGTATCAAATGACCATGAAATCTAAAAAAAAAAAATAAATAATTTTAAGGCATTTTTGATCACCTTCAGATCACTTTAATTTTTTTTTTTTTTTTTTACACAAACTTGGAAGCTAGA